TCCGCTCCGCCTTGTCCTCCGCGCCCTCCTCGCCCGGCCGGCGGTGGGCCCGGTGCCGGCGCGGCTCGCCGTCGGCCCCCGTGCGGGGCGAGCCGCTGCGGCTCTCCCTGCTGCCCCCCTGCCGGTGGGCGTGCCTCCGGTGGGGGTCCCCGGCCTTGCCCCGCTCGGCCTCGCCCTCCCAGAAGCCCGGCTGCTCCAGGCCGCCCTCCCGCGCGTGGTGCTCCGACTCGCGGCCGTAAGGCCCCTCCCGGCTCAGCTCGGCCTCCTGGCTGCCGGCCCAGGGCCTGCGGGGGTCCAGGCCCATCGAGCCGCTGGGGTCCCGGGCCCGGTCGTGGTAGCGGGCCTGTTTCCTGAGGAAGTCCTCGGCTCGCTGCTGGCCGAGGCAGCGCTGGTCCACGGTGGGCTCGGCCGCCCGGCTCTTGTTGGTGTTGTTGTTGCGGTTCTCCTGGGGGTCGACCACCAGCGGCCGGTCCAGGTGGGTCTTCATGTCCGGCCGCAGATGCCGGGCGTACGAGGCCTTCCAGCGCTCGTCCGGGTCCATCTCGTTGTACAGGGCCTCCCGGCTGGCCAGCAGGTTCTGCTTCCGCATCTCGCTGGTCCGCTGCTCCCACACGGACTTGGTGGGCTTCTGGCTCTTCTGCTGCTCCTTTCTGCAAGGGAAGGGTGGGGGTGGGGGTGGGGGTGGGGGTGGCGGTGGGGGTGGGGGTTAGAGCGCTGGGCCACGTGGCCTGCTCAGGCCCCTCCGGCGAATGTCTCGGCCCGGGGAGGGTATTTCAGCCCAACCAGGTGGCGCGGCCTGTGCCGAAAACTCAAGCTGGCTGGGCATCCTGGCCTAGCCAGGGCCGTGGCCCAGGTGGGTGTCTCCATCCAGCAAGGTGTCTCTCTGGGTGTGACTGCTGGGGGGCGGGGGGGGGGGGGGGGCGGGTCTCAGCCCGGGTGGGTGTTCCCGCCGTCCTCTCCAGGCTTCCTCAAATTGTAGCACGTGACCCCCTGGGGGATGTAGCCTCGATGGTCAAAGTATGTTAACCTCTAGGATAAGCCATCACAGTGGACGTTGGCCTGGGGCAGATTCTGGAATCGTCCACATGATCTGTTAATTCTGGGTCATGGAGGGTCTGGGTGGTCCCAGGGGGAGCCAGGGTGGGCACTGGGGACTCTTGGGCAGTACTTATTTACCCACAGGGCCGGTGCAGACCAGCCTGCAGCCCAGTCTGGGGTATACAGACTTCGCTAGGGTTTTTGCGGGCATTGATAGTTTTTTGTGTCTTTTTTTTTTTTTTTTTTTACATTTATTTATTTTTGAGAGACAGAGAGAGAGCACAAGTGGGAGAGGGGCAGAGAGAGAGAGGGAGACCCCGAATCTGAAGCAGGCTCCAGGCTCTGAGCCGTCAGCAAAGAGCCCAACACGGGGCTCGAACTCAAGAACCGTGAGATCGTGACCTGAGCTGAAGTCGGACGCTCAACCGACTGCGCCACCCAGGCGCCCCATACAGACCACCACCTTCCATAGACTGCACACCTAAACTCGCTTGTCTGATTATGTGTTTTCCTGGGCTCTCCTTTCACAGCCACCTCTCCTCCTTCCACTTTGGCAAAGAAAGCCCCCTCCCCACCGTCACGTCATGCACTGCCCCTCGGTGTGCAACGTCCCTGGGACATCCAACACAGGCAGAATGTGGGTTGGCTCAACGGATCTCCCTTTAATCAAGATACCTGAACTCCCACCCCCTCACCACCTCTGATTCACCAGGGAACTCTTTCCACTCTACCTTTCATGATGTGTCTAGAACTCAGCTACATCCATCACCACGGCCACCACCCCACCGCAGTCCCACGGTCTCTTTTGTATGGACCAATGAATGTAGTCTCCAACCTGGTCCCCTGACTCTCACCCTTGTTCCCTACAGCCTGTTCCCTTGACAGCTGCCAGAGGGGGCCCATGAGCACCCGAGTCAGGTCTTGCCCCTCCTGTGCTCCAGAGCCCTCCACGGCCCCCATCTGACTCAGATCAAAAGTCCACAGCCCACCCGTGACCCTGCATGATCTGCTTATCACCTCTCTGTCTTCACTTCCTCCCACTCTCCTCCTTCCCTCCCTCTACTTCAGTCACGGTGGCCTCCTTCATGTCCCCTAAACACACTAGGCACATTCCTGCCCCAGGACCTTTGTATATACTGTTCCTGCTGCCTGCTATGATCTTCCCTAAGATCCCCCTGCCTGGCTCCTCCCTCACCTCCTTCTGGTCTTATCTCCTTCTCAGCCAGGCCTTCCATGGCAACTTTATTTAAAGTCCCAAGTCTCTCCACCCCTGGCTCCCCCTACGCCCCTTAACCCCCTATTAATACCATATCCCCAGTTGCTAGAACAATACTTGGCACGTAAGAGGCGCTTATTAACTATCTGTTGAGTACAACTGGGCGATACAGCAGAAGCACCTCTTCCTAAAGCTCACCCCTGTCAGGGACTGGTCCTTGCCCCCAAATTCTTGACTGGGAGGGTGTAGACGTGAGGACCCTGGACAGCATTCTGGAGTTCAGGGCACTTACACAGCTATGGACATGTTGGCGGCTGACAGAGGACTCACTTCTGCCACCTCCTTGGCTTTCTGCAGGGCCAGCTTCTGGTTGGCTGCCTCTTCTTCTTCTTGTTCATCCTGAAAGACACACGGGGTCCCTGTTCACAAAACATGAACCAGGCCTTGGGGCCTCACTGCTGACCCTACTGCCACCAAAGGGCAACATGGGAAAATATTTACAAGCAGGTGTGGCCTGGGTCTCGCCCCCCCCCCCCCCCGCCGCCTGCCCTGAGCCGAGCCCCGCAGATCGGAACAGGTGCCCCGTGTCGGTCAAGTGTACTGCTATCCCCTCTAGGTGCAGGCTCAGTCTCCAGCTCGTTCTTAATCCTGTTTTAGGACACAGCCAGGAGAAAACCAAAGGGGAAAGAGACTCCCTTGCTTTCCCACAATGGAGACTTTTCTGCACCCCGTCTCAACGAGCCGGAAATTAATGCAAAGACCTCCCTCTCACTCTACCTTCTGGGTTAAGCTCTCCGGACCCAGACTTTTTAAAAGCACGGACTAGCCCCCACATGCAGAAGACCTGGCCCATTCCGTGCACTGCCAACAGCTTCCGGAAGGGGAATCGGGAGAGGAGCTTATATTCCCGGCCGGTTAGGTTCAGAGAGGAGGAGGGTGGAAGATGTTTTACAAACACAGAAGAAGATGTGTTGGGGCTTTAAAGCCTCCTTCAGCCTTCATGCAGGGCCTCATTCGTAAAACAGAAAAGCCCACAAAGAAAAAGCAAAGGAAAAGCAACGAGGAAGGAATGGCCAGAGAGGAACCCACCAGTAAGAAGCGTCGGGCTACGTGGCAGGGTGCCTCTCCCCCTGCACTGCGATCTCTGGGGCCAGAAGCAACCTTAACCACCTCGGAAACGGTCAGATCAGGACGCTCGGTCAGTGACCACACGGAGGTGGGCCCCGACCAGCCACCCCGTTCTCAGAAGGCCTTTCCTTCTGGTATCTCACCCAGCGTTTCTCAGAGCTGGGTCCCTGGACCACCTGCCTCAGTGGCATTGCAGATGGAGGTTCCCAGGTCCCGCCCCCGAAAAGCCCCGGGCTGGGCCCCGTGGAATCTGCATTTTCAACAAGCTCCTGGGTGAGTATCAAACACGCTCGGGCCTAAGCAACAGTACACGTGGGTCAGAGCACAAGTTCTGGACCCACGTGGATTCAAATCCCAGCTCCTTCGCTCGCTGTTAACGTCGCCTCTGGGTGCCTCGCTATCCTCACCTAAAATTTCCACTCTCCCCGGCTCTCCCATCTGAGCAGTTCTCACCCCCTGAGAAACTGATTTCGTGTCTGTCTCTCCCTCCCGAATGTCAGCCCCGCGAGGGCAGGGATTTCTGCCTTTTTGTTCACTGCCATATCCTTGGCTCTTAGACCAGGCTCTGCTCACAGGAGGTGCTCAAGAAATGCTTTTGAAAGACACAATCTGTAAAAGGGGGGCTCAGAGAACTTGATTCCGGGGGTTTCTGAGAAGATTCATAAGACCAACACATCGGGGGCTTAGCGGGGTACCTGCCTCATGAAATGCCCAAGAAATACCTGCAGGATAAATGAAGGAAACAAGTTGCTCTGGAGAAGCATGTCCCTACTAAATAGATGATCTTGCCTTTCTCTCTCCCCTTCTCCCATGCTCCCGGCGCACCTTCTCCCCCGTGACAGCCCCTGAGGACGGGCTCTTGGAACTCGGATGAGCATACGGTTGGATTAGCCCCTGGAGCCAGCCAGCCAGCTCCATGGTGACCAGGCTCGTGGCCGTGTGCTTGGGGCAGCAGAGCCTTCCGTTTCTTACCGCCCCCCCCCCCCGCCAGTCAGAGGGGCCCGGGAAACTCTCTCTCCCCCCTGCCAGGGCCAGCAGATGGAGGGTTTGGCAACGGGCAACGTCCGCTCAGTTCGGTTCAGTTCCACGAATGTGTCCTGAACACCTCAAAGCACTAGAGATGGGACCGTGAAGAGGAGGGAAGCCCCAGGCCGGGCCCTCCTGGGCTCACAGGAAGACTCTGCACATGTTCTCTTCATGTGATGGGGCTGTTTCCCAACACCCTCCTCTGAAATTGCAGAAAAGGCGCCAGCTTCCTTTGTGCAGTGCGCAACCTGTACAACCATTCCCAGCAGCCCGGCTTGTGGGCTCTCCCAAGGGTGTGAGCGGTGTTCCTGAAAGCAGTGTTGCCTCCTCTGTGCCCAGCTGAGACGCATCCGAGTTCCAGGGAGTCCAAGGCTGCTCTAAGAGGCATCTGACACGAAGTTTTGCTCCCTTTATTGGGCACTTACTGTAGAGCAAGAACTGTGTCGGGTACCTGACGTGCACAGTGTGCTACTGTGAATAGTAGCTGCTATTATCATACCATCTGGGGCCAGTGACTTTGCCTTTCTGAGCCTCAGTTTCCCCTTCTGCAAAAGGGAGAGAACAGCGATGCCCGGCACCGGCAGCATCTAATTCTTTACTGATGTCACTTGGGGGCGACGTCCGGCCGGCTCCCAAGCTCATGGGGCCACGAGGTGAGCCTCAGGCCCCTGTGTGGGTTTTCCCACCTGTCCCATCCCTTCAGGTCTGGGGTGGTGACAGTGCCTGCTGGCCTGGGGGCTGCGCCATTCCTTGGAGAGGTCCCTTGACGCTCCCCGCTCCCTATAAATGGGCCCTCGGGTGGAGCCTGCCATCTGTTTCCTGTGGCAGCCCCGCAGCCTTACGCCCCCCCACCTTCTTTGCTGTGGAATCCTCCTGATCAGCGACAGACTGTTTCAGGGGGAGGGGGCTCCTTCTGCCGGGGAACAGAGCCTCCAGGGCAAAAGCTCGGACCCTGTCTCCACCCCCACGCCCAGCACAGCGCTGATGGGCCACAAGCAGGCGGTAACTTTGCCCGAGGGAGAAGCATTCTGCCACCAACTCCACCTTGGTGAGCTCCTGGGCGTTGGCCAAATTATCCACCGCGATGGCTAAGAACACGTTCAGGAGGGTGTCTGCAGGCGCTGGAGTCAGGGAAAGCACCACCACTCGGACCCCGGGTACCCGGGCCTCGAGGACCCTCCCTCGCCGCCCGGCTGCTCCGCCAGCCCCGCCCCCGCCGGCCCCGCCCCGCGGAGGATACAGTTCCCGAAGAGCGTCAGCACGATGAAGTAGATGGAGAAGACCATGCCGCCCTGCACGCCCCCCTGAGACTTGATACCGTCATACATGACCTCGTTCCAGTCTTCGCCCGTCAGGATCTGAAAGGGGACGGAGAAACACACAGCCAACCCCTCTCAGCCACGGGCCCCGCGGAGACGCCTTGGCTGCGGGGGGCTCTTGGGGCGTGGGAGGGGCCACCCCTGCCCTGAGGGGCTCTCGGCCTGGCTGCCAGGGAAAGGTGCCTCTGGGGGAGTCACAGCTCGGTCCGTAACCCTGTCCTGCCTCGTGTGACCAGGGGATTCACTACAGACGGGGCTGTGCCCCCCTAAATTCATAGGTTGAAGCTCTAAGATGTATATTTTTTAATGTTTGTTTTTGAGAGCGAAAGAGAGAGAAAGACAGAACGTGAGCAGGGGAGGGGCAGAGAGAGAGAGAGAGACACAGAATCCGAAGCGGGCTCCAGGCTCTGAGCTGTCAGCACAGAGCCCGACGCGGGGCTCGAACTCACGGACCGTGAGATCACCACCTGAGCCGAACTCCCCAACTGTGAGATCAGGACCCGAGCGGAAGTCGGACACTTAGCCGACTGAGCCACCCAGGTGCCCCTGTCCGTTTAAGATCTAAACGCTCATGTGACGGTATTTGGGGATGGGGGGTAATCAGGGTTAGAGGAGGTCATGATGATGGGCCTCTCATCATGGGAACTGGGGCCTTTATAAGAAGAGACACCAGAGAACTTGTTCTGTGTCTCCCCATCTCCATGCCATGTGAGGACACGGTGGGAAGGTGGCCATTTGTAAACCAGGAAGAGAGTCCTAACCAGCAACCAACCCCGCGGGCACCTTGCTCACGGACTTCCAGCCTCCAGATATACGAGAAATAAATTTCTGGTGCTTAAGCCGCATATTCACTGGTCCTTCGGGCCTGCTGTGCCTGGGGGCAGGGCGGGTGCCAGTGACGGGAGAATGTGTCAGGCACAGGGAGGCAGGTGCTGGCAAACACAAGTCTCCCTGATGCTTATGGGATGGACTGAGGGGACAGGCGTGCGTCACCCACACGCTCACTAAAAAAAAAAAAAAAAAAAAAAATCCAACTTCCCTCCTCTGTAATATTTCCACAAGGATAAACTAAATGTGAATCAACTCCAAAACCCGTTAATGTGGGTTTCTCAGCCTCGGCCCTGCCTGCTGACATTTGGGGACCGGGTCATTCTCTGTTAAGGGGCCGTCCTGGGCACTGTGGGGTACCGAGCAGCAGCCCTGCCCTCTACCCACCAGGTGCCTGTAGCATAACTCCCCCAGGGCTGTGACAACCAACCACGGTTCTAGAACTTCCAAGTGTCCTTGGGGGACAGACCCCCCCCCCCTTAGACAAGAACCCCTGTGCTCAAGACCCACCATCAACAATCTTCCTGGCTAGTTTCCCTTTCTAACCCCCTGTCCAGGGGTTCTCTTTTAGAAACTGCCCTCCCCGGGGAAGGAGAAAGTGAAGTCACATTTTCCATAGATTTCCTGTCTCCCCCACCCCACAAAGAGACAGAACCCACCAGGCTCTGGTGATCCCAGCCAGGTCAGTCCCCAACCTCAGGGCATGGGCCCACACAGATGCAGCAGTTGGTTTGGGGAGAGCACCCAGGGTCTCTTTGCCTTGGAATGTGGGATCAGGGGCATCTCCTAATCCAGGGAGGATGGGTGTGGTAACCATGCCTCATTTTCTGTATTCTGATGCTGTGACTTGGTGGGGGTCGGGGGTTTGTTGACCCTGGAGGGGGTCAGGGCCAGCTAATTCCTACACATAATGGCCAACTTGCCCACGGTGTGCACTTTCCAAGTGCAAACCAACCACCTCCTCTATGGGGCTCTTACACTCGGGGCCCACAGTCCCCTGATCTTTCTCATCAGCTAACCCGAGATGGCCCCCATGCCCAGAGCCCCGCTGAAATCACTCCAGCTAGCCACTTCTAAATCTGCTTACCCTGCCTCGCGGGATCCTTCCTGCAGAAACCACAATAAAGGCTTGTGCTCATGTTCCCCCTTCTCTGCCTCCTGACCTCCCCCTCGTGGCCCTGCGTGGCCCGCCGTGGACTTCCTCTCTTGGGATCTCCAAGTACAACAGACTGCCTTTCCAATGGCATTTACCCACCACTGTTGATTGAGGTTGCGATCTCACGGAGATCTGCTGGCCTCACCGTGCCTGAATAATTCTAAAACCTGTATTTTAAAACAGCGGGACAAGGCAAAGCGGGGGAAGAGCGATTTGAGGAACCCCCCTCCTATGCTGAATGGTTGCTTCAGTCTCTGGCACTAAGAGGTATCCGCCCACGGGGGCCAGGTGAAGACCGTACCTGAAACACTGTCATTATTGCTGCTGGAAAAGTGTCGAAATTGGTAGGAGGAGTCCCTTCATCGAAGTTAAACCTGCGGGGAGGACACAGGCATTTCACGCTGGCCCTGCCCTGGGTGCTCTGAGGGCTTACTTAGCTCAGCATCCTGTCTCCAGGGCAACATCTCCAGCATCTCTGTTCCCCAGGACACCCTGACTGGTACCCAGGACCCCGCCCATCTGGGTGAATACACTGGGCTCCCGGAGCCACGAGGGGGGCGGTCTGCGGGATGGAGGTGAGCCTGGGTCTCTGGACGCACCAGACCCACTTCTGTCCCCGCACGGGACCCCAGGGAAGCGGAAGTCAGGGAGTCTGCTGAGCGCTTACTGGCCGCCGAAGAGTTGCATTCCCAAAAGGGCGAAGACCACGATGAACAGGAAAAGGAGGAACAACAGGCTGATGATGGATTTCATGGAGTTGAGAAGAGAGACGACCAGGTTCCTGAGTGATGCCCAGTACCTGCCAGCAGAGCCCGGGTCGGGGAGGGGCGGTCAGGCCGGTCAGCTGAGCCCGCCCGTCCCCACAAGCTGGAGGCGGCCCCACCCCGGTCCCCATCCCCGCCCCTGCTGGGATGCCGGGGGATGCTGCAGAGACTTACTTTGTGACTTTGAAAATACGCAATAACCTGAGGGCTCGTAACACGCTGATTCCAAAGGATGTGCCGGGTTTTATGACGGCCCAGATGACCTCGAAGATGCTCCCGATGATAACCTGGAGCAGAGAACCTGGTCTCGCGTCCAGGGCCCTGGAAACCGTGCCCTGGCCCCGGACCTTACGGGAACCCAACCAAGATGCCCCTACACGGAAGCAGGGTGAGGGTCTCCACCCCGAGAAGCCTCGAGGGGCCCCTGGGTACTGCAGTAACCATTTCCTTGCGTTTTTTCAGAAATCGAAGTGAAACCCACAGAACGTCAAAGTAACCACTTGAAGCACAGAACCCGTGGGCATTTCACGCATTCACAATGTTGTGTCAGCGTCACCTCTTTGCAGTTCTGAGACATTTTCATCACTCCCCCAAGAGACCCTGTCTCCCCATGAGCAGTCACTCCCCATTCCTTCCTCCTCCCCACAACCCCTTACCTGCTTCTGGTCTCTATGGATAGGTCTATTCTGGACCTTTCACAGAAATGGAATTATGCGGTATGTGACCTTTTGGGTCTGGCTTCTTTCACTGAGCATAACGTTTTTTGAGGTCCTTGCCCCTTGAAAGTTCTCAAGCATCGCCCTTAACCAACATACAGTCGTCTAGTTTTTATCCTTTTGATCTTACGTGAGCGGAGCGGAATCCTGCTCTACGGGCTGATTTTTGTCAATGTCTGTGGCTGGTCGCCTCTCCTGGCTGTGGAGAATTCCGTTATATGGCCGTGCCACAGTTTATTTCTCCATTTTGCTGCCATGCGATATTGGGTCCTTTGGTTTGGAACTTTTATAAATGAAAGAGGGCCTGAATGTTTCCCTCCCGCTGGTAGTGGCTAAAAGTTTGGGAACCTCTGTGTCCTCACCGGTATCTGGGATTGCCCTCTCATTCCTTCTGCATTCAGCTGCGTCTCTCACGTCCAGACGTGACCCTACTGTTCCCTTTCTGATGTGCCCAGGCATCAGCCGTTCTTGGCCAGAGCCGGAGAGTTGAACTTCCTATCAACGAGAGTACTTACCCCACAGTCAAAGCAGTTGAAGGAAGAGTGGAAGTAAGGCCGCGTCCCAAGCCCGTACATTTTTATAAACATTTCGGACATAAAGAGTCCTAAGAAAATGAATTCTGCATAGTCTAGAAGGGAGAGGAGGGAGAATGGAAAGGAAGTTAGGTTTGTGGAGTGCGTGGCGGGGGGGGGGGGGTGTTCCAGGCGGCTCCGACTTTCCTGTTAATAACAACCCCATCCATCTGGCCTGGCAGGCAGGGAGAGAGGAGGGTCGTTGGTGGCCTTGGCTAAAGATTATGCAAGTTTCCTTTCCACGGGCCTCAGTTTCTCCTCTGTTAAAGTGAGGAACAACAATTGTCCCCCACCCTCCAACCCACCAACCCCTGGCCGATCTTAAAAAGGAGTGGGGAAAGTTCCATGGCTCTCCACCACGCACTTTTTTGCTCTGGTTCAACAATAACAGCTGGGCACAGGTCCTTGCCAAGGACTCAGGTTTTGTGCTGGCTGGTGGGTTCCTGTGTGCTTAGTACGTTTTATTTTTTTATTTAAAAAAAATTTTTTTAATGTTTTATTCATTCTTGAGACACGGAGAGACAGAGCATGAACGGGGGAGGGTCAGAGAGAGAGGGAGACACAGAATCGGAAACAGGCTCCAGACTCCGAGCTGTCAGCACAGAGCCCGACGCGGGGCTCGAACTCACGGACCACGAGATCACGACCTGAGCCGAAGTCGGACGCTCAACTGACTGAGCCACCCAGGCGCCCCAGTACGTTTTAAAACTAATGAACGAACCAACGAACGAACGAACTGCCCGACTAACAAAATAACAATGAGCCCAGGATGCCATAATCTAAAAGTTATGATAAGTCCACTTTTACACGCCTGAGCTTGAAAGGAGAAACTGAAATAGAAATCATAATGGTGTCCTTTTAGTAACCTTTGTGTCAGGGGCTTAGTTGGAGACTCAGGGGCAACCAATCTAAGATTCGGCCCTTCTCCCAACTTGGAAAACCTATCTGATGCCCCCCCCGGGGGCCGCGGGAGGGTCCTGTCTTGTTGATGTCTAAAAGTCTTGGACAAGATAAAGCACTTTTGTTCTTTGGTAAGAAAGCATGATAGTCCAAACGCCCTGGGGAGAGGTAACATATGGGAATTTGTTTGCACCAGCAGAGAAATGGCTAATTTCAAGACCTTTTCCGAGAGAGCTTTCTTGGTGGGGTAAGGAGGCTTTCTGAGCGGAAGAAAACAGAAAGGAAGACAAAGGACCCAAACTTCCAAGAGTTTCAGTTTTGGTCACATAGTTAATTCTGTTTGAAAGCCAAGGGTGTTGGGGCGCCGGGGTTGCTCAATCGGTTAAGTGTCTGACTCTCGATTTTGGCTCAGGTCCCGATCTCACGATCCGTGGGTCCGAGTGCCGCGTTGGGCTCTGTGCGGGCAGTGCAGAGACTGCTTGGGATTCTCTTGTCCTCTCTCTCTGCCCCTCCCCGCCTCAAAAATAAATAAACATTAAAAAAAGAAAGAAAGTCAAGGGTGTTTCTTTTATCATTCTTTTAAGAGGTGGTTTGAACCGTCAAGGTCCTTCACACTCATTCCTGACCGAATCTTCTTTGGACGCCAGGGAGCTCCTAGTGTCTGAGGGAAACCAGGGTCTCTGGAATCGTCAGGCCAAAATATCAGCGAGGGACATCTGGCTGTAACTTCTGGTGCATTCCGAGAACCACCAGAAACAACTTTGGGAAACCTGCTCCCTAGTTACCATGGCAACCTGGTTGCTGGCAATGCACAAGACCTGAGAGAATTGTCTGTAGCCCGGGAGGGTCGGGAAGAACTTTCAGGGCCCAATAAACCCAATTTCCAGATGAGAAATCTGAGACCCCGAGAAACGACCACACCTCACCGATTCTAAGACACACGCTTTTGTTCAGTTTGACATCTGGGAAATTGGGGTGTATCTTCAAATTGACATGCCCTCGTTTAAGATAGTAGCCCTGCTTTCTTTCTTTGTGGCAAGTAAAATAAAAAGGGTGCTTTATAAACGAAGACGCTTTCCGCTGATGGCTGGCTGTCGGTAGTGACTTGTCCGGGGTCACACGATGAGTTAGGAGCAGAGTGGGCACTGAGAACCCAGGTCATCTGGTGACCAGGGCAGGGATCTGTCATTAGTCACAGTTTGGATTCTGGGTTCAAATCCTGGCTTTGTCACTTACTAGCTGTGTGTTCCTGGGCAAGTTACTTAACCTCTCTGTGTCTCCTTTTTCTCAAATGGGGATAACTAGAGGACCTTTACAGACACAGGAGCCCAGGACAGGGAGTCCCAACTCTCTGTTCCTGAACCAGGACAGACAGAGCAAAGTGATTAGTGTGGAGAATATGGGAGATTAAAAATAGACTACCAGAGGAGATTAAAACAAGAAGTAAAGAGTCCTCATTTGTAAGACTCCACGGGGACCAAATGCAATTACGAGGGTTGGAACTAGGTCAGGGCTCTCAGAAGGAGAGCTGGCCCCCGGGGAGTGTCCTGAGGGGTCAACCAATGTGACGGAGAACAGTAAGGGTTACAAGGAAATAATGACCTGGACCAGGCTCCTAGGCCTCTCTAGGCTGAAGACTCGACTGTCTCCAGTGGCTGTCTGGGTCAACCCCGAACCAGGCCAGACGGGGCAAGAAGCTACGAACCTAAGTCAGGCCAGTAGATGCAGGTGGAGGGCAGCCAGCAGGCAAACGGTGTTGGGAAATCCTCACTCGGGGCCCACAGGCCAGAGCCAGGGTATGCGCTTGCCTTCCCCACCGCCAGACGCTACTCTTATTGATTTCTCAGAGCTCTTTATTTTTTAAATTGCGGTCAGAGGTCTCCCCACCTCTCACTGCTTCTCCTCACCCCCTCCTGGCCATCAATTCTGATACTATCACATGCTAACTCCTGGAATCTGGAATAGGCCCAGAAAGGCAAGGCCTTAGGGGTCCTGGTAGTCACTGAAGGAGCCAGATGTTCTCATAGTTGTTGGGGCAGATCTTCTAGGAATGAATCCCGGATATAAGGAGGTCATAAAGGGCTAGAGAGGAAAGTGGTGGGGGGGGGGGGGCGGGAAGAAGAAGGTTTGAAAGAAGAGGGGAGAAGCAGGGAGTGTCAGAAACGCGCAAATGGGGACAACATAAGGGCCACTCTTTGCCCCTAAAGCATCCCCCTCTCTCAACCACAAATCACTCATTTTAACATCCCCAGAGATATTACCTGTAAATTGCATGTGTGTTTCTGTCTCCATCTGGCTGTCCTGTGGTCTCTACCCCTTTCTGTCTCTCTTCCAATGCCCCCTTCACCAGCACCCTTATGCCTCTCTTTTAAAAAGCATCACAGGGGCACCAGGGTGGCTCAGTCAGTTAAACACCCGACTTCGGCTCAGGTCACGATCTTGCGGTTTGTGAGTTCGAGCCCCGCATTGGGCTCTGCGCTGACAGCTCGGAGCCCGGAGCCCGCTTGGGATTCCTGTGTCTCCCTCTCTCTGCCCCTCCCCTGCCCGTTCTCTCTCTCTCTCTCTCTCAAAGAATAAATAAACGTTAAAAAATTAAAAAAAAGCATCACAGAAGTATTTGGTGGCCTCAATTCCAGCTTCCAGCCCTCAGGCCCAAAGACTCACTGAGGTGCCAGCTGCAAACACGTCCACGTCAAAGGGCAGACACGCGGCACCACAAGTGGGAAAGGGTGTGAGGAAGGGAGCGGGAGTGGGCAGGGGCGGGGCCGGGCGGTACTCACAGAGGAAGTCGGAGAGCCACTCGGGCTGGTTGTAGTGAACAATAGCGACACACAGAGTGTTGAGGGCTACCAGACTGAGCACAGTCCAGTAGAAGGCCTGAGTTTTGACCATGCGGCGGATGTAGAAACGCATCCTCCTCTCCTTTTTGTGAAAAAAAGTCGAGTTCTCCAGCTTGGCACTTTTAATGCTGGCTCGGGCGAAGGGAGACCCTGCCGAGGAGAGGACGGAGAAGGTCAGGGCGTTCCTGTGGAGGAAATTGACCGCCGCGCGGCCCCGGCACAGAATCCGGCCAGGGGATCCATCAGCTTCCCGGGCGAGCCGTCTAGCCCCCCCGGGGGAATCCACCATGACCCAGGGACGTAGCGTTCCAGAACTGGAGCTTACAGGAAGGCAAAGATCATAGTAACGCAAACGACCAACGAGAGCTCTGGATGTCATGGGGAGACAGATGGCTCTCCACTGATGATGCCAACCTCCTGCGTCTCCCTCTCCTGCCGCATCTGATGGCTCTGGGGGTCATGCCACGGTGGCGGAATGAGGAAGGAGCTTCTGAGTGCTCAGGACCCTCGCTGCAGGGAGAACTCCTGGAAAGCCTCCAGGAAGAGGTGTGGCTAGGACATTTAGTTTCCGTGGACACTTCACGTTAGACGTGAGCAGCAAAGAATCTGCCTGCATACGCTTTTACTTGTGGAGCATCTACTGTGTGCCAGGCTCTACTCCAGGTGTTTAGGACACTCTAGTTAGCAGAGCCCTGTCTTCCTGGGACTAATCTCCATTTGGGGAGAGAGAGAGCAAATATGGTAAAAAAAAAAAAAAAAAAAAAAAGTAATAGTGTGATGGAAGGTGCCATGTGCTTTGGCAAAAAGAAAAAGGACAGGAGTGTAAGGGGCTGGGGAGCCTCAGGAGGGACCATGGGGCAGGCTGCCATATTCAAGCCAAGCGGTCAAGGTGAAGGCATTGGTTTAAGCCCCCTTAGTATTTGTGGGCAGAGGAAACAGTAAGTGCAAAGATCCTGAGGCAGAAATATGCCTGCCTGACCTATCTGGGGAATGGCATAAGGAAACCAGTATGGCTGGAGTGGAGAAGAGGAGGGGAGACAAGGAGGAGCTGAGGGTAGGGTGGGGACCCTGCGGAATGAGCGGGGCTTTGCGGGGCCGTGGGGAGAACTGACTCAGCTGCTCACAAGCGCCCTCTAGCTGCTGCAGGGCGGGGGGGGGGGGCGGGGAACAGTCTGGAAGGCCAGGGCAAGACGAGGGAGGGGACTGCATTGGTCCAGGCCAGCAATAATGACGGCCGGACTCCGCGGTGGCTGGGAAGGCAGAAGAGTGGGCAGACTGGGGATGTGTTACTTCAGGGAGATTTCAACGCCCGCGGCCGGCCGAGTGTGGGTGTGAGAGAGACAGGGGAGCCAAGGTCTCTGGCCTGAGCCCCTGGAGGGACCGAGATGCCACGCACTGAGAGCGGACAGGTTTAGGGGAAGGTCCGCAGCTCCGATCTTCTAAGTGATCTCTTCCTGAGCACCTTCCAGGGCTTTCGTTTGTTGGCTGACACTGACCCTTGGCCCATTCATTGTTCATCGACTCATGCGCTCATTGGTTGATTTGTCCATTCACTCATTCGTCCACCCAGCAGGTGCATCAGCAGCATCCGACCAGCACGGGACGCGGCAAACGTCTCCCAGGGCGCCACTCCCTTCCCACGCACAAAACTGTGAACACACACGCCCGCTCGGCGGCAGCTGGCCAGCCCTGGTGGCGGGACCCTCTCTCCCTCATGTCCGTCACCTGCCTGACCTCACAGCCGTTGAGAACCCCAGCGGGGCTCCTCGCGGCCCCTTCTCAGTTGGGGCATGTCTGGCAGCTCCCAAAGACGTGGGATCCGCAGGCGTCCATAGTGCATGACAAAGAGTGGAGACTTTTGAAGGTCTCAGGTCAGGTTGGGATGCTCCGAGGGGAGGAGGAGGGAGAGCTCAGTCACAGTGGGCGGGAGGCTCCCCACCCCCCACTCCTGCTGGAGCCCCACCGAAAACCCGTTCCATTGCCAACCAGACGGTGACCTTGGCCAAGACACCTCGCATCTTGGGGCCTCAGTGCCTCCGTTTGTAAACCGGGACAACCACACTGCCCACTCACAGGGCCGCTGGGAGAATACGCCTTAGCCCCATGCTGGCCACCATGGCCATCATAATCTTCTACTAGAACCCCCAGTGCTCCAGTGAAGACCGAGTTCATGTGCCAATTTATCGAGCAAGTCTTTCCTGATCACTGGCCCGGAGACATGTCCCACAAGCACAGCACCCACTGGGAAGCAAAAGGGAAGTGCATGTTAACTGAACACCTACTACGTGCTAGGTCCCTGCTAGCTGCGTATCACCTGGATTGTATCTCACACTCGCTTGGACCCACTCTCCCCTTCTCTATACGTTCTTGTCTCTAGCTTTTCTCTGTGGTCTGGAATGGCAGCTGCAGGCAATTCTTAGATTTTACAAATATTTTCATAAGACAGGGCGCCTGGATGGCTCCGTCGGTTAAGCGTCCGACTTCAGCTCAGGTCACGATCCCACGGTTCGTGGGTTCGAGCCCTCCGTGGGGCTCTGTGCTGATGGCTCAGAGCCTGAAGTCTGCTTGGGATTCTGTGTCTCCCTCTCTCTCTCTCTAAAATAAATAAACATTAAAAAAAAATTTAATAGGGGCGCCTGGGTGGCGCCGTCGGTTAAGCGTCCGACGTCAGCCAGGTCACGATCTCGCGGTCCGTGAGTTCGAGCCCCGCGTCAGGCTCTGGGCTGATGGCTCAGAGCCTGGAGCCTGTTTCCGATTCTGTGTCTCCCTCTCTCTCTGCCCCTCGGCCGTTCATGCTCTGTCTCTCTCTGTCCCAAAAATAAATAAACGTTGAAAAAAAAAATTTAATAAGAGATTTTATGGAACCCAACAGATCCAAAACATTATCATTTCAACACGGCATCAGTATAGAAATACGTTAAAGAGACGTTTCACACTCTTTTTCTTGGGCTAAGACTTCTGAATCTGATGTGTTAGAAGAATGAAGCACCTCTTTGCTCACACTGGCTCTGCCCAAGGGATCAAGAGCCACAGGTGACCAGTAGCGGTCTGGAATGTCCTGCCGTGAGGACAGAAGCCTGTCACCACCAAGGCTTAAGATGGGGACTTGGGGCACTTTACATGCCCCTGAAATCGTCCATAAGTTGAAACGGGTCCTGCCCAAGCTGCAGGTTGAATTGTGCCCCTCAGAGAGACGTGTTCCAGTCCTAACCCCTGGGATCTGTGAACGTGACCTTACTTGGAAGTTAAGGGTCTCCGTGGATGTCATCAAGTGAAGATGTGGCCCAACTCGATCAGGGTGGGTCCTAAATCCGGTGACTGGTGTCCTTATAAGAGGAGAAGAGCCACACAGGTGCACGAGGAGAAAAGCGTGTGGCAACAGAGGCCGGAGTCCGGTGATGCACACAGACGCCGGGGATTGCCAAGGATGGCTTCGAGCTGCCCAGTTTTGACACTACGTTACGCGGCCCTGGCCGACGGATATAGCCCTCGCAGAGCTTCCGATCAAAAGTCATGTAAAAGGAATCTAATTTTCCTGAAGAGCTGGTTGTGATGGCAGCTTCCATTCACGGCTCAGCTTTTCCTATAGACGACTCAAATTCCAGATTTCAGCAGTATGTTCGTCAGCTGCAGACGAGACAGCTTTGTGAGGCGCTCATCGGCTGACTGGACCGCGCGGGAGAAACACCAACTGCGCAAGGCTGTGCTCGCTGCGGTCCAGGGTTCGACGGCAGACGCACGGCTCTGGCCTCATTCCGAAACGCTCAGCTGGTCTCACTTACGGAAACGCAAGTCAAGTCATTTCCCGGTCAGAAGGGGAATTCCAGAGGTGTCCTTTGGGGTACTGGCTGGAGGGGGGGCCCCTTCCTGTGCGTTTCTGAGCCATCGGGCAAAGGGGCTGGAGTTTGGTGGGTTTGCCCGGGGCAAACCTGGTCCGGGGACACCGAGCCCCTGGCCTACGTCTGGGACCCGTCTGGAGAGCTGAACGTCGCCTGCTCTGTTAACAGAAAGGGCACGGGACAGCCATGGCTCTCAGTCCGACCGCTTCCCACTCTGGTTTCCCGTCCTTCCCCTTATCACGTGCTTATCCCTGCATTCTCCAAGGAGCAAGGTCTCTTACGTCGGCCACCAATTCACGAGCAGGGTCTCCCACGGGCGAACCATCTGTGAGTCTGTCTCATGGCTTCTTGGCTGGCCCCCCTGTTAGGTACTCACCTGGATCCCCCAGATTCATATGCCGGAGTCTTATCCCCTAGTACCTCGGAACGCGAGCCTATTTGGAGCCGGGGTCTTTAACGAGCGAATTATAACGCAAACTCAGGTCCTGTAGGTGGGCCCTAATCCGATACTGACTGGGGTCCTTGTAAGAAGAGATCAGGAAAGACCGTGTGAAGACACAGGGAGGGGTCTATCAGCCTGGTCTACAGCCTTGGAGGGAGGCCTCAGAAGCAGCCAACCCTGATGGACGCCTTGAGCTAGGAACTCCAGTCTCCAGAACTGTGAGAAACTAGATTTCTGCTGTTAAGCCCCCCAAGCCTATGCTACTTTATTACGGCAGCCGTCGCAAACGGATGCTCTCTCCCCGTTCCACAGAAAGCCCAGCTTAGAAACAAACCCCTCCCGGGGCGCCTGGGTGGCTCAGTCGCTCGCGCGGTGGACGTCAGCTCAGGTCACGATCTCACGGCTCGTGGGTTCGAGCCCCGCGTCGGGCTCTGTGCTGGCGGCTCGGGGCCTGGAGTCTGCTTTGGATTCTGGGTCTCCTTCTCTCCCTGCCTCCCCCGTGCTCACACTCTGTCTCTCTCTCTCTCTCTCTCTCTCTCTCTCTCTCTTTCAAAAATTAAATGAACATTAAAGACATTTTTTTCAAAAACCAAAACCAAAAAACAAAACAACAAACGCCTCCTCCGTGAAGCTTTCTCTGCTTTCCACCAAATTCTTCCCAGCCTGTACAGCTATCAGAGTCCTCACGATCAGTCTCTCGTTGCTTTTTTTTAAAATATTTTTTACCTACTTGCTTACGTACTTAATTCATTTTTTAAAAGAGGGCGAGAGCACAGGGTGGCGAGGGGCAGAGGGAGAGAGAGACAGAGACAGAGACAGAGACAGAGACAGAGAGAGAATCCCAAGCAGGCTCCACACTGTCAGCACAGAGACCAACTCGGGGCTCAGTCTCGCGACCCTGAGATCGTGACCTGAGCCGAGATCGAGAGTCAGACACGCAACTGATTGAGCCACCCAGGCGCCCCCAGTCTGTGTTGCTTTTAAGTAACTTTAACCGTAGTTAATTACTTTTCTGATTTCAAAAGAAATGCCCGTCACTCCTTTGTACGTTTTTAGAAAATTGTCGTGTAGAAAGTGAAAGAAAATCCCTCACATTTTAAGTACCTCTCGTACTTAATACTGTTCTTGCAATGGGATCATACATTTTATATAATGCCGTGCCGTTTGCTTTTTTCACTGAGAAATCGCTTTCAAACATCTTTCCATGCGAGCAGCAGCCATGTTCTTTTTCCTGGCTGCGTAACAGTCCATCGTATGTAAATACTGCAATTTCTTCAGTTGTCTCCCCATTTCTGGGCATGCGGGTTGTCTCTGGTTTTCACTTTATTTCCTTGTGTGTGTTTTCACTTAAAAGATTTTAAGTCATCTCTCTACCCAACACGGGGCTCCAACTCACCACCCCAAGATCAAGAGTTGCACGCTCTACCGACAGAGCCAGCCGGGCTCTTTCGGTTCTCACTTTTTTGCACACCAGAGACAACGCTGTTGAGAAGAGGCATCGATCTTTTGCACACGTGGAAGAACTATTTTTGCAGCAGAAATGCCGGGTCAAAGAATAGAAACATCTACAGTTAAATGATACCCAACCACACGGTGGAAACCGTGCAAACCAAACTCCTACGCTCAGCACACGACCATGCCCATTTCCCCACATCCTTGCCAACATTGGGTAGTATCACTTTTCCATCTTTTCTAGGATGACTGATGAAAAATAACCTCTCCATCAGTGGGGAGCAGGTACCCAATCTTATCCACAGAGGCGATCCTGACTCGAGTATGCCAATCTTTTGGTGTGTGAGCCAGACTGACGGATCAAACACACAGACCACTGTTGGGAGTGCTCCTGTTCTTGAACTTGCTGTGGGGGGAGGGACACAGATGCACCCACAAGTCGAAATAGGTCTAGCTCAGCATTACAAGGCAAAAGAGGGTTGTGGCTAGAACTTAAAAATGCAAATTGAAACGAGCTTGAAGGTATCATTACAGACCTACTTAGCTGGGAAAGGGAATTAAATGGGCAATACGCAGTGGCTGGGGAGGGGGCGATCCGTTGAACGTATGAGTGCTTGGCAGGTTTATACATGGGGTCGGTGTTTCTGAAACCCAGAAGGGCTCTGTGTAATGCGTTGAAAAGCTGTTGATATCTTTGATCCTGTAATTATCCCCAAGGAAACACGCCCAAAGGGTGGGGGCAGTAATTGAACATAAATGCTCGCGGTGGTGCTCCTCTGGAGGGGCAAAACACTGGAAACTCCAACACCACAGGACAGAGCCACGGCTAAGCCACCCCAGAACTACGGGGGCGCCACCCTCCGCGAGGATGGGGCTGCAGTGGAAATGATGTCAAAACCCAGCGCACAAGGTCAAAAACCAGGGGGGAGCGAAAACAGTAGCGTATGGAATAGCTGGTGCCCGTGGATCAGAACCACGTGTATATATTAAATTCCCTTCTCCCCTTCCTTCCTCCCCTCCCTCCCTTTCCCCGCAAGGTCACGTGTTACTTCCCCTGCCTGGATGCTCTCCCGCTTTCATTACTGGAATGTGTCAAAACCCACTTCAGGGCGCCCGGGGGCCTCAGTCGGTTGAGCGCCTGACTCAGGTTGGTTTGGGCTCAGGTTCGTGAGTTTGAGTCCCACATCGGGCTCTGTGCCGACAGCATGGGGCCTGCTTGGGATTCTCTCTCTCTCCCTCTCTCTCTGCCCCCCTCTCCTGCTTGCTCTGTCTCTCTCTCTCTCTTTCTCAAAGAAAAAAATTTTTTGTTCAAAATATAATCTAGTCTCTCCGGAGAAGGTCGGGAGCAACACAGTCTCAATCAGCAGGGGCGCGCAGGGAAAGAGCAAATGTCCCCTCCTCCCCAGGCTCCGCCCTTGGCAAGGACCAACAGCAACAGACCGAGCACAGCCTTCCGCCTGGCTCTCTCTGCTTTCACGGCCACGGCCAACTCCTATACTCATCCTGCAGTCCTCAGCTTCAATGTCGCCTCCTCCGAGAAGCCTTCCCTGACCACCCCCCATTCTTCCAGAGCACGCCAAACCCGGGGCGTCTCCTCAGCAGCGCCACGATCACGACAGGCTTATTTCGGGAACTACCTGTTTAACCTCTGCGTCCTGCCCTGGACCGCAAGGCCCACGCGGGTCGGGATTTGGTTTCCCATCCTATTCACAGCCGGCCCTTCGTAAGAGCAGCCCCTCCGTGAGTGCTGACGAATCGTAATACCATTACTGGGAGCTTATGCTGTGCCGGGCGCCCTTCTGAATGCTTACTGTGGATTATTTAGTTTAAGCTCCACGGACGGTACCAGGAGAGAGGCGCCGCGGTTATTCCCATAATCGCGTCACCTCCTCCAGGAGACAAAGGTGGCAAGGGGCAGAGGAGGGGGTCCCAGGCCTTCAGCGCGCATCTCTGACGCCACCGGTGACAACCGAGCGCCAGGATGCAGCTGGACAGACTCACCCACGGAGGCGATGTCGGCCAGCTGGTCCTCGGCCTCCTCGGGGTTGAGCAGGTCGGTCTTGCTTTTCTTTATGGTGGCTCTCCGCAGAGCTCCAACAATGGAAACATGGCAAGAGAAAAAGACGTTACCCTTTTGGACACCGGAACCACACCTCGGCGCCCCTGCGTCCTCGGCCCCAGGTGTTGTTCTGTCAGGGATGCTCTGCGGGGTGTTGGGTTTAACCCTCACGGCAATCCGGTTTGGTGGGAGGGAAGAGTATGCCCATTTTGCAGACGGGGAGACCGAGGCTCGGGGGGGGGGAGGGGTTACATGACTTTGCCCAAGGGGTCGAGACGAGAACCACGTCCTGTTCAGTCTGACTTTAGAGACTGAGGTCTGGGCTCTCAGTTGTCATTACCCCTGGGGGATGCCTGGGACCGGATATACAGTGACCCCTAATGAAGGCAGCCCACCCTTGACCTTTAGTACGCTTGCCAGGCCGGCCGGGACTGAGGATCCCTTTGCTCAGTGTTTAGGTTCCGCTCCTCCCCCACGGGCTCTCCAGGGGACAGCGAGTTCAGGCACACGCTTCCAACAAAATGATTTAGACACCCCCGTGGGTCACTTCTTCCCCTCCCCCGCAAAGAGTAAAATCCATTTTGTAACCCTCCGAGATAAACCCTAGCTCCTTTACTTCCTGCTCTCGCCTGGTATTTTCTTTCTTTCTTTTTTTTTTTTAAATTTTTTTTCAACGTTTTTTATTTATTTTTGGGACAGAGAGAGACAGAGCATGAACGGGGGAGGGGCAGAGAGAGAGGGAGACACAGAATCGGAAACAGGCTCCAGGCTCCGAGCCATCAGCCCAGAGCCCGACGCGGGGCTCGAACTCACGGACCGCGAGATCGTGACCTGGCTGAAGTCGGACGCTTAACCGACTGCGCCACCCAGGCGCCCCTCGCCTGGTATTTTCGATCCAAAGCCCTTGCTCTGTCTCACCGAATTCCCAACCGTGAGACCATGGTCCTGAACAGTAAGCCGGATTCTTGGCTATTTATTTATTCAGCAAACACAGATGGTGAGTCATGACCTTGAGTCAAGTAGGCGTTGTATTTGCAAGCATTAATGTAATCTTCATAAACTATCCGATGAGGTAGGTATTATTATCATAATGCCCATTTCACGGATGCGGAAAACTGAGGCACGGGGTTAAAGCAGAAAGGGCAGGCCAGAACACGAAAAACCTGCGCCGACGTCCTGAAATTCCCGAAAGCCGCAGATTCCTGCCATTCCCTGTATCCTCCTGGTCCTGACCTGGTCTTGTGTTTGTGCTTGGTGTCACCTGGGCTCTGAACGTCCATCCCCTGGAGGCCCCAGCATTGGCTGCTCTGGTCTCCCCCCAGGAGCCACCCCCCCACCCCCTGAGCCAGGTTCAGAGCAGTTACCATCAAAGGGATGCCTCTGCTCCCCGTCGGTTTCATCCTCGGCGAGGATCACCTCTTCTGAGGAGGAAGAGCACAGAGTTAAGCTCCAGCGTCTACGGGGCTCTCCTGGGACGCGTTCCCTCGGACCAGGAAGGGCAAGGGTCTGCCCGGCCACCTTCGCTCTCCTCTTGCTGATCGCGGCAGCTTTGCTATGACTCAACGCTGCCCCTACCCCAGGACCTTTGCACCTGCTATCCCCTCTGCCCGGAACACCCTTCGCTAGACATCCACACGGCTTCCTTCGGGTCTGCTCGGACATCACCTCCTCGGAGAGATCCTCTCTGACCAGCCCACCTCCTCCAACTCTTTTCTACTTCCTAAGCTGCGTTATTTTTCTCCTCGGCACTGGGGAGCACCCCGCGTCGTCCGTACTTGTTTCTTTTCTGTCTCCCTCACTAGAACGTCGGAGCCCCATCTCTTGTTGACGGCAACGGAGGAGGCGATGTCCTATCCTGGCTTCACCCCGGAAGTCCCGCTGCCGTAGCCCAGATTCCGGCCTCTGGGAAGTGGGGCTCCTTGGTCAGGGGCCCTCTTTGCTCCCCCGCCCAGGCCCTCCCCTCACCCACCTTCAAGTCGCGTGCAGGACTCCGTGCGCGCTCCGGGGCCTGGGGATTATGGTTCCCAGGCCCCAGGATGAACGGGCCTCACCTGCTTTTGAGATCCACTCCATGTACCCGTTGAGCTCCCGTTCGATCTGCTGCTGCCTCCTCAGTTTCAGAAAGGCCCGCCGGTTCTCCACCCGCTCCCTCTCTTTGGCAAACTCCCTGCAGAAGCAGGAAAGAGCCGGGCGTGGCCGTTGTAAACGTCTTAGGGACTGTGCGTGCGTGTGCATGCGTGTGCGTGCGCGCGCGCGTATTCAGGGGTTCGAAAACCCCAGGAGGGCAGGGGACTTTAACACGAGGAATCAGGTCTTCTGGGAGAGCACCACAGGGATGGGGGTGTTTCTGCCAGCTTCCCACATTATCCAACAGCTGCACCCCAGCTAGAGGAAACAAGTCAAACCGAAGGCTGCACACCCCCTTCTCATTCTCTGCACTCCCGGGTGAAGAAGATTTGAAGCCCTATTTTAGGTCAGGCCAAGGAGACATAAGCTGATTTCCTGCCACAGCCTCCCTTCCCTCATATGTGCCCTCCCCCCCCTTCCCCTTCCCCTCCCTCCTCTTCGTGTTTGGAACATGCGGTGGCTCTCTTGTGAGTGTGAGGCAGCCACTTTCAGACCATGAGGCATCCACGAGACCGAAAGCCTCTGCCTGGTAAGGACGTCAGAGCAGAAAACCAGAAGGAACGGGGGTCCCTGATGGCACCGTGGAGCCACTAGGCTGCTCCCCAGACTTCTTGTGATGAGAAAAAGAAAATCTATTTATGAGTAAGCCAAAAAACCCCACAAAACACCCAATACCCGATCCTGGGGGTACGGGGCAATATGCGTCATGGAAATGCATGCTTGACTGTATATTGAGATTTTGCATTTGGAAAACAGGAAGGGGAGAACCCAATCTACTGTTTTTTGTTTTTTTTTTTTTTAATGTTAATTATAGACAGTAACGCTCTATAGAATTTTCTCGTGTGATGGGCTGTGTGCTGGGAAAGACTTCTGAATGAGAGGTCTGCATTGGAAAGAAGCTCCCTTTTCCTGGGTGGAGGTTGCTCAATGCCAGGGGCGCAGGGTTGTGAGTCGGAGTTGCACCGGATTTCAGCCCCCTTGAGTCCTTTTGCTGGGTGCTGTCAGCAGTGCACAGCCTGTGCATCTGTACCTGACTTGCTAATAACTTTCTGGCTAACCCAAGACAAGGGAAGAAGCCTACTCTCTGCCTCCGCCTGGAGTATGAAAACAAAGGTTCGATGGCCTCTTTATGGTCAGAAGATGGTGAGGGGGGAGTGGGATGGGGAGATTACCAGACACTTACCCTGACAGCACACCCAGCACGAGGTTCAGCATAAAAAAGGAACCAATGATGATGAGGGGGATGAAGTACAACCAGTTCCAAGTGTTCCCTGAGGCATCGTTGCTCTGTGGGAGGTGAGAGGGAAAGCGGGTGAGTGTTCAGTGGGAGAAGGGGGACCTCTGCCCTCAGATGTCCGTGGCCTGTGGAGTCCTAGAGCTCTGGCAGCCCAGACAAGGAAATAGAACACAGGATCAATTAGCAGGGGAAACCTGAGAGGTATCATTAGAAGCACAAAGCCCCCTCCTAATCATGTAGCCCTCACAGGACTCAGGAACCAGCATGAAACTCAGAACTTCCCAGACCAAAATCCATGAGGAGAGAGAGAAAAAAAAAAAAAGCCCAATCAAAATGTACAAACGAACCCCTGGTTCCCTCCTCCTCTCTGACACAGTCACACTTTTCCCTTCCAGGAGGGTGCATGAAGGCAGAGTCTGACTCCCGGGTTAAATCACCAAGACAACCAACAGGGCTGTGAGCCTTTTCCTCAAATGTCTCCCTCCTCTGTGCCCTGCAGCCTCAATGTCAATCTCAAAAATATTCCTGGAAGCGCCCAGCTCAGTTTTCAAGGTGGGGAGAAGTCCACAAGTAGAACATTCTTCTCTGGGAGAACAGAACAGTGTGCCAAGAAGGAAGTAAAAGGAAGGGATGAAAATCCAGAAGAGAGAGCGAGAAAGAAAGAGAGAAATATAAAAAAGCAGTGCTTATGGAGTATTTACTCGTGCCAGACACTCTTCTAAGTACATCAGCCATTAGCTTAGTTAGTCAGCATACCCTATTTTATCATCATGCCCATTATATGGCTGGGGAAACTGAGGCCCAGAAAGACAAAAGTGCCAGCCCAAGGTCACGGAGCTAGCTGGTGACGAGCATGGGATTGGATCCCAGAGCCCATGGACTTAACCTCTGTGCTGGAGATGCCTTGGCATCAGCCGCCGGAGCAGAGGAGCTTTCGGGTGGCTCATCAGCTCTGGGCCATCTGCACAATGTGGGGCCCCCAAGAGTGGCTTTAAAAGCTCACCTTTAAAAGCACGTCTAATGCTGTTGCCACCAAGCAGAAAGGCCCGAATGAGAAGGACACATACGGCCAGGTGCTGGAAAGCCTAGAGGATCTGTAATCGTCACACGCTGCTCATGGGAGGGTGACATGGTGGATGAGGGTCCTGTGTCTGGGTAACAAAGAACCACAACTGTGTGGCCTAAAACAACGGAAATTTATTGTCTCACGGTGCTTGGAGGTCAGACGTTCAAGATCAGGGTGTCGACCAGGCTGGTTCCTTCTGGAGGCTTCCAGGGAGAACCTGCCCCATGCCTCTCTCCTGGAGTCTGGGGATTCACTGAAAACAGCCTTTAGTGGTTCCTTGGCTTGCAGAGGCATTGCTGTGGTCCCCACCCTCACCTCCGCGTGACGTCCTCCTCGTGTGCATGTCTGTCTCTGCGGCCAAATTCCTCCCCCACCTCCTCCCCCAGCAGTCATACTGGATTGGGGTCCCCCCTGATGACCTCATCTTCCCACAATGACCCCACTTCCAATTAAGGTCACATTCTCAGGTGCTGGGGGTTGGGACTTCTATGTATGAACTGGAGGAGGGAGGACACGGTTCAATCCACAGCACATGGTCCAACCACTTTGGAAGATGGGTTGGGAGCTGCTGCTGAAATTAGTCACGTCCCCGCACGACCACCCGGAGATTCCCCTCCTGAGTCCTGGATAGTTACCCAACAGAAACGTGAACCTGCGTAAGCCAAAGGCACACACAAGGTTGTTCACAGTGGCGATCTTCATAATAGCCCCAAACTGGAAATAATCTGAATCCCCCTCGACAACAAGAGAGAGGATAAATAAATGGCACAGCATGCAATGAATGACCACCACTTGTCACATGAAACCTTACAGAGTGCGTGTCGAGCGAAGGAAGCCGGACACAAAGGAACATGGATGTAAGATTCCGTTATACGAAACACAAAAACAGGCCAACCAGTCAACGATGCTTGAGGTCCTGATGGGGCACCCTTTGGGGAGGAGGTATAAGCGGGGACATTCTGATCCATGGCACAACATGGATGAATCTTGAGGACACCACGCTGGGTGAAATAAGCCAGTCATAAAAACACAAATGCTGTAGGGTTCTACTTCTGTGCGGTCCCTAGATTCACAGAGACAGGAAGTCGGCAGGGGCTGGGGGAGGGGGTGGCGAGTCAGTGTTCGGTGGGGACAGAGTGTCAGTTTGCAAGACGTAATGAGTCCTGGAGATGGGTGGTGACGACGGCTGCCCAACAATGAGGATGTACTTAATGCCGTGGAACTGGACACTTAAAAACGGTGAAGATAGTACATTTTGTGTTCTGTGTATTTCACCGTGATTAAAAAAAAAAAAAAAAAGGAAAATAAGACAAAGTCAGCATTCATCGCAGACACAGACAGGTTCTGGGGACAATTAATAGGCCAGGGCTCCTAGCTCCTGCCTTTCTTCCCAGAAACACCCAAAGTTCCAATGCTGTGCTGCTAGAAGGTTCTGGAAAAAAGAATGGAGTCAGCAGAACAGGGCTGGACAGAAGGCACGACTGGCTTTGTGCTTTTCCTTTCCAGTGCTGTGGCAGCTGAGGGTTCTCATGCCTATTTCTTAGGCTAAATATAGTCCAGGGAGAGAAAGCCCTTACCAGCCAACACAAGAAATAGTCTGGGCCATCTCAGGAAACAGGCTTGGCATGGGAACAGAGCAGCGGGCGTGTGTCGGGGGGAGGGGGGGGATGCAGGATGGAATGGGGAGAAATGGCTGAGGCCCCTCGGAACCGAGGCGGCCCCTTCATCTCAGACTCTGCCCACACCCCAGCTCCCCAACGGGCTTAGGGCCCTCTGGGCCATGACATGCTGGCCAGGATGATAACAGACATCCACAGGGCCAGGCACTCGGTCTACCCGAGCTCGTTTAATCCTCCCATGGACCCCCAAAGCTGGTGCGTAATCCTTCCCATCCTCCTGGGTGAGGAAACTGAGGCACAGAGAGGTAAAGTTCCATGCCCAAGGTCTGTTCTGGGTTACGCTGTGTCCCTCCAGAAGATGTGCTGAATTTATAACCCCGGTACCTGGGAATGTGACTTTACTTGGAAATAGGGTTTCGGCAGCTGCCATCGAGTTAAGACGAGGTCGTGATGGGGGGGGGGGCTAGTCCAATATGACTGGCGTCCTTTTAAAGAGGAAAACACCAGGTGGAGACAGGGACGCGCAGGGGAGAGAAGAGCCACATGATCACGGAGGCAGAGGGTGGAGAGAAGCCAAGGAACACCAAGGGTCAACAGCCAGAAGGAGAAGCCAGGAAGAGGCGAGGGAGGATTCTTCTCAGAGTCTCAGAGGGAGCATGGCCCTGCTGACATCTTAGTCTCAGACTTCTGGCCTCCATGTGATGGCAGCCACAGATGGAAGCCCCGCGCCCGGGCCCCAAGCCCCTCTGTCACTCTAACCTCGGATAACTCTGCTCCAGCCACATGGGCTCCTTTTGGCTCCTCAAATGCCCCAGGCATAGCCCCACCCCAGGACCTTTGCACCTGCTGCCCCACCCCCGCCTGGAAAGCTCTCCTCCTAGATTCCTACATGGCTCTTCCCTCACCTCCTCCAGGTCTTTGCTCAGAAGTCACCTTCTCCAGGAAGCCCTCTTTGATGACCCTCCACTGCTAACCCCGTTTCCTGCTCTATCTTTGCCCTTAGCGCTTCACCCTTTCTACGCTTTGTTTATTTCTCCTGATCACTGCCTACCTCCCCAGCTGGGATGTCAGTTCCACAAGGAACAAGGACAGCGCTTTTTCTGGTCCCTGCTGTGTTCCCTAGCACAATGCCAGGCATGCAAGTACTGCTCGATAAATGTTTGTTGAATGACTGAATGAGAGGCGCGTCCAAGTTCCCCGCCCAGCCCGCGTCCTTAGTTCTCAACCTGTTCTCCCTCTTCCCCTCTCCCTTGTTTGATTTTCTCCCCGGGACTGGCAGAGAACGTGCTGTGCTCTCTTTCCAGTCTGGCCCAAATGATTCCGTTCCACGCTCTGGATCCAACAACCCATGGAGAAGGAGTTGGTGCACGGACAGGCGCGGGTTTTGATCACCAAGTGGGCTTCCCGTGGGGTCTGCTCGGGAGCAAGACGGGAACTAGATTTCCCAGGCAGAAAGGCTGGAGCTGCCGTGGCCACAGTGACGGCAGAGAATGTGGGGCGGCCCAAACCTCCCCTCCTGGGTCTGACCTCCTCTGGCAGTTCAGGTAAAGGGCGGGTGTGTGCACGAGTCTGGGTCTGGGGAACGGAAGGAGGATGGAAACTTGCTCACTTGTCATCAGTGACACTGAAAAGGATGTGCTCTTAGAGTCCTGTCTTTCCTCCAAAGGCTCAAGGAGTCCTGGTGCCTGGAACACTATTCCCCATTAGTGCTGTCACTGAGTATTTCCGGCGACATGGTAGGATGGCCTGTTCTGGTCCCCCTGTGGTTGGCTGACGGCCACACGATGGCTGCTGGCCGGTAAGGAGTGGATGGAAATAGCCGTGCCACTTTTGGACCAGAGCACTGAAGTGTCACTGTGGGACCCTCAGGGGCCTCTCTCCTTTTGGGACAGCGAGTGGCAAGGTCCAGGCGGCTCCAGAGCTGGCTCTCAAGTGACCATGTTGCACACGGCCCCCTCTCCTCCACTGCCAACCCACACTGGACATGTAGCGTGAGCAAGAAAGGAGATTTGTTGTTATTAACGTCGCGGGGACTTTGGGGGATGTTTGTTACTGCCGCCTAACGTAGTTTTCCTGGCCGATACACCCTGCTGCCTCCTCAGTTTACTCTGTCAAGTCCTTCATCTCAAATGTCACTTTCTCAATGACCCTTCCATGGAGCTCAGGAGGCGCGTGTGGAAAAAGAATGTCTCCGGCACGTCCATTGGAGACATCGGTACGCCAAAAGGTAAAGTTCCAGATTACAGTGTGCTACGTGTTTCTGTTCCCCGAGCCTCTGCCCGGAGCCCGGTGTCCCCTCGATCTTGGTGTGGTTGACTCCTCCTCACCACTCAGCCTTCAGCTCCTACAGTGCCCCCCCCTCAGA